TTATTAACACTCCCTAACCTCCCAGCACAACTGCTTTCAATTGTGCATGGAGGCAAGTCATGGTGTTTCTGATCCTGGCACAGAACCCAGTATCCTGCTCACTCTGCCCGATCAGATAGGCTTTCTCATGAGAGGCACTCACAGGCAGAGCGTGCCTGATCTCATTCCGAACACACCTTCCTGGGAACACGACCCAGTCGCTGCACACTCTTCAACTTAAGGACAAAAAGACCTACTGTAAAAACATTCCCAGCGTGTGCTCTGTTGGAACCATTACTATGGATACTGTTAGGAATGGTTAGTGTACTCTATGGTTTTGGGTTACACTTTACGTTGTCCTTTTAGGAACATGAAACAGGGTTTTGGGAAAGAGACAAACTCAGAGATTCCATGAATTCTTCTGACTGGAAAACCTGGAACATGACCATCCTAGAAAAACTTAATAGAATTCCACAAAGTTACACCTGGAAATGCTCAATAGTTTTGATAATTCCAAGATGAACCAACATTGAGATTGGCTCAGGAAGGTCAAAATAGAATGATTCAGCATCTAGAAACTAATTTAGTTAACAGATTGCAGTGAATGCACTCGGGCATTTTTTAACACAACATTGCCATATCCCAGTTTCTGATTAAGCTGACGTCTGTCTGTGAGGCCTTTACTTCTTAGGGCCTTTGCTACTGGCTGGGAATATTTCTGCCATCAAGGCCAGGCCTGGAAAGAGAGCAGCTGGTTTGGATTTCCACAGATGCAATGAGATCTACAGAAGGGTGGAGTCATTTGGGTGGGAAAAGGAAAAAAACCCATTCTCCTCTTCCAGAAAGTTAATCAAATAATAAGTTAATAATCCTTCCCCAGTTGTGCCACCTAGAATCCTGAGTGATCTGAATCCCTGGGTTCTGGATAAAACTGCGTGGGGAGCCACGGTCAGAGATTCTGAGAATGTGTTCTCTGATGCGGGAAATGGAATTTGGCATCGTGGGAGGACACCAGTGGTAGCCTCTTACTGTAAGCAAGCTGTCACCGAGTAGCCCTCTCACACCCAGAAGCTCTTTGTGCTGCTTGTAGTCATGGTCACCAAATACGATGGGGCCATCATCTCTTTTTTGGGTCAATAAGCTAAGTGAGTGAAAATGATGACTAACTCTAAACGTCACACACAGAGAATGAATAGCGGTTAAATGTACGTAAGACAAAAATGGACTGGGTCTCATAATTTAAACTGCTCCTCGCCTTTCCAGTATGTGACACAGCCACAAAAACCCAAAGATCACTTCACATCTCCAAAAGAAGAATGTGGTCATTCTACTTGGCAAGGATCTTGAGCTTTGAATCAACTACCATCAGATTTTAAAGCAATTGGAAGATTAAACATTTCAGTTTCAACAGTTCTTTGAGTCCAGGTTCCAAGAGCATAAAGATTGGTTTTGCAAAAGGCAGAGAAAATGCACTTTTTTCAGGTATGCATCCATTTTAAGCGTAATGTCTTCTATCCATGGAGTACAACCTGAGAGAACTGCTAAACTTTCACAGCAAAAATTGTCGCCAGTTTGCTATGGCTCTACAAATCAAGCAGATGACATGTAGCCACACAACAGTTTTCAGACGACATAATGCTCATGATATGAAT